TCCTTTTCTAAAAATCAGATAATACACGCATTATGAATGTCCGAACATTTAAAAAACAGTTATTGCATGTTTCAAAAATAGCAGTAAATAAGGTTCGAGCATGATAATGTCTTAGTCGATTGCATGCAGGGTAAGCATGGATACGATGTACTGACAGTGAATTTGGTCGCTTAAAAATTCACTTAAATATAATCACTCGAAAATAATACAACAAAAAATTTGCAGATTCGCCAATTTGCGAAATATTCGATAGCATCGATTTTATGAATTATTCATATTCTTATACACGTATACACGTAAGACTCGCACTAACCAGCCTCGTTTTCCTCAATGCTTGTACAATATTATTTATTCGTAACACAGAAACATCGACACCGAATACTCCTGGTCCGCTGGATGTTTTTGCACAGCCTAGGAGAAGTTTCGCAAAGGGGTTGCATTGTTCGCCCAGAACTTCCCCAATAAAATCCAGCCGACCTCCGGAGCATGTGTGTGCTTCTATATGGCTATGACTGACCCTGTGTGGGTATGGAGTGCTGAATCCTACGAAGTTGGCAGTCATCCTGAACCACCCTCTATCATCCCCTATGGCAGTGCTTGAACATAGTGGGACCATCCCTGTAGATTTTCACCTACGGATATCTACATAAGATTGTCACTACCCCCCTTTGGGTTGCTTTTATCACTTTCGAAAAGGGTGAAATCGCTTTTCTAGACATTGAAATTTTTCCTGAACCCACCAACCGGAACACCTCGTCTGCTCAAAAAAGCACTGTAATCTCTTCTTATCCCGGTTGCGTTTCATCTCTGGACCCCTACCTCTCTCTGGAGCCTGTGGACTAAAAAAAAAGGGAAAAAAACTGAATCCGATAAATCTCAGGAAATTCTTTTTATGGCAACCGTGGAACTTCTCCAACAGGAAAAGTACTCTTACACCCTCTGGACTTTTGGACAGGGTCCCTTCTTCACGATATGAAACGAGCATTTTGCCACCACCTATATATCTTTTGTGCTTATATATCTGTTGTCCTATATCTTACGTGCTTGGATGCAGTTTTTTGTAAACCTGAAATTAGTACACTTTAAATTAAATACATATATATCTTTTATTGACGAAGAGTAGAAAATATGGTTGAAATCGATCGAGCCACGGTACCAAATTCTCTGATGGGTCTGATGAACTAACGGGAGTATAAAGTACGAAAAATGAGAACGGAAGCCGCAGCAAATTTTCAATGTAGATAGAATCGTGGGCGTTAGGTAAGGTTGGTGTCGTGTTTATTGAGGGAGGTTCATGGTAATACAGATACTAATTTCCTGCCAAAAAGTTAATTCAATCTGAAGGGAAGCACAATTGGTTCCGATGTCCCCGTTTGCCTTAAACGGCTATCAAATCATGGCTGTGACTCCTCCCTTTTCATTTCGCCTCCCCTTTCTGATTCTGTAATCAAACTCTGCGTCACACACATTCTCTTTACCCTTTATTATCTCGGCCTTTGTCATCTATATATAAATGTATATATGTCTGGTGGCACCTTTCTTCATCTTCCTTCTTTCTCTTTCCCTCTCTTCTTTGAAATTCCCTCGGGAAAACTTGATTTCGATAACTTTTTTTTTTCGGCGACGATTTTCACCCTTAGGAAAAAAGAAAAGAAGTCAAAGAAAAGTCTCATTGGATTTGGAAAATCGCATTTCGCGAATTTCACACGAGGATCAAGATGAACACGCGAGAGACCAGGCACGCGACGACGCGTGCACATGCCGAGCGGTGCACTTACACGCCGGAGAAAGAATGCCAAGAGCGAAACTTTTCCAATCTCTCCTTTAAGTTCTTAGGGATTGTTAAAAAGGTATTCCTAAGCCAGGAAAAGAGAGCTTTCAGTCCTGAGTATTAAGGATGCCAACATACTAAGCACGTGTATACGAAATCATGAGTACAGTATAGCTTCAAGGTACATTGAGATGTCTGCACATCTGATCATATGATTTGTCACAAAATATATATGTATACTACGGCAGTGGAAACAGACGGACAGATCCCTGCACGGGAGAAGACAGCACAAAATATGACTGAACCAGCGATACATACACGCTATATAATTTTCCTCACACTTAGACTATGTAATACGTTGGTAGTCCCGTGCAAAGCATATTGCGCAATGGATCATGGGTCGTGCATCACAGCCCATTTTAACAGTGAATGCGTTTATAGTTAAGACCTGGACTACGCAGTCATAGATATTCCTCTGGCTTATTTGTTCCCAATATTATCTTCTGTTCCTTTTTTTTTATCAAAAAAATTTGTCGAACCGTTCTATAGCTCTTTCGATTGTACATCCTTTTTTCGTGCCCATTTCTTTTGTACGAAAATAACAAGATAACGCTTATAGAATTATCTGAACCATTTTTTACACGTGTGCCGCGACTACAATAGAGAGTAGGCAGAAAATATAAAAGTCACGAGAAGTACAAGAATTACGAGTTTCCTAGAAACTTGATAAAGGAACAAAAAGTTATCCGACATCAAGAAAACATCAAAGACGGCAGAATTCACGTATCTACAAGCTAGAACAGAGTTCAGTAGAGCCTCTTATTGCTCCGATACGCTTATAGTATTCGCCCTTATTTCTCAATTCCGTCGTATCCATATCCCGTGACCTTTGAAAAGTCTCCGCTTATGGAGAAGGGGTCATCGGGGGCCGATGGGGGAGAGGCGCCGTGTCGTCGAACGTCCTTCGACGTCGCAAGGCTCCGTCGCGACGTTGGAGAAAATCGAGAACATCTATGGAGGATCCTACTATGAGGGATAACATTGAAGAATGGGGGGGGGGGGGGGAAAAAAAA